AGAAAACAATGTTTAAAAATAATATACATAACTAAGTTTTGAACTCAAGTAAAAGAGAAGATACTGGCCTTTAAGTCTCAGATTTGTAATATAAATGCTTTGTTGCCAAAGAACGGAACATATTGAATCCAAGGAAAGTCTTCAAAAGGTCAATGTCAAAGAAAGTAATAAAATGGTACATTGTAATACACTGTACCCGGTGTTTTCAGTGTGATGATTGCAATAGAGGTATTGGGAACCTGAGGAAGAAGCCTATTAGATACCAAAGCCAAAAAATTGCAAACTTCAAGGACATTGATTTGTCTTCATAATCTTGTAAAGACCACATCAATTCATCATGTGAGAAACCATCATAAAGACATCATATATCGATCAGATGTTCTATTTTGAGGTGTCTTTGTGAAAAAAAAAATATTTAGTATGATGTCTTTAATATGAGGACAAGAGACATTTTATATATTTTTGTTAATGTCTTTTTTTCTTTTTTTAAATTTTAATGCAACAGTTATAATTATAAATATCATTCATAAAATGGCAAATTTCGTACACTCAGACTATAAACTACAAAGTACATCTGTTTACCAGTTTATATGTGATTTCGTAATAAAAATGATAACAATGCTTTTGAATATCTATGTAACTGTAACTATATTCTTGTGAATCTCGATCATTACAGATCGTACAATATCCGACTGGTGTAATCAACATTCCTATCTGATTATTGGGGACTAGGAAAACTGTCATTAGTATTACAACTGCTCTGGGGAAGATTATTACTTGAGTGGCTTTGTTGACCATTATTCTTTGTGGCCATCACAGAATAAGCATGAATGTCATTACCCTTACCTTTTTTCTGAAGAAACTTTACAGTGTGAAAACTACACCTTCGTGGACTGCGGGAAAAGAAATAAGCCAGTATGGGAATGTGAGTAAAATCAAGCATAAAAGCTGTCTGTGATCTGAAGTCTAAGAACATATATACAAATGATAACGTCGCCGATATATGGCTGAAATATTGCCGACTCGGCGTTAAACAATAATAATAATAATCAATCAAATGATAACGTCGCCGATATATGGCTGAAATATTGCCGACTCGGCGTTAAACAATAATAATAATAATCAATCAAATGATAACGTCGCCGATATATGGCTGAAATATTGCCGACTCGGCGTTAAACAATAATAATAATAATCAATCAAATGATAACGTCGCCGATATATGGCTGAAATATTACCGACTCGGCGTTAAACAATAATAATAATAATCAAATGATAACGTCGCCGATATATGGCTGAAATATTGCCGACTCGGCGTTAAACAATAATAATAATAATCAATCAAATGATAACGTCGCCGATATATGGCTGAAATATTATCGACTCGGCGTTAAACAATAATAATAATAATCAAATGATAACGTCGCCGATATATGGCTGAAATATTGCCGACTCGGCGTTAAACAATAACAATAATAATAATAATCAAATGATAACGTTTAATTATTTTTATCGTATTGAGGGGTTGCAGTGATTCGCAATTGATTACAAAAACAAATAAGAAATAACATTTTCATTGTAAAGCGAAAAAACATGCCTACATAAACTCCAAATGTGATTTTTTTTTTTTCGGAAACAATATGGTGGTTAAGGCAGGGAGATTTGCTTGAGAAACTTTATATAATCAAAATTCAAGTCATTTAGATAAATTTCAAAACATTTAACTTTTTTCAATTATTTGATAGTCAAAAGCATGTAATCAACTAGACTTTTTTGCAAAATTGTAGAATTTTTTATACATATAAGCGGTCGAAGCATAATTTTCAAAATTTTATTGCTTTATTATTCGAGAAAGATGTAGTCTCTTCGATGATTTCGCTAGGTTGATAATTTGAAGAAACCATTCCCAAAACAAAATAATTTTTGTCATCCACGGATATACAGAACACTATATAAATCATCAGTTGAATTTTAAGTTATATATTCTAAAAATTAATTTTGAATACAAGCTTTATACATATAAAATTAGCCAACATTCTCAACTTTGCTGAAAATTATATACATTTTTAGGCAGGTACTTCCGACTTCAGTGTAAATTTTCACATTGCCCAGCATGTGAAGCTAGATATCCAAAATGTGAAGATAAAACCGATGGATTTTATCTTGAACATGACGATGGTACCTTAACTAAGCGATTCAAAATATGCCAGAATGGACGAAGAGTACATACAGGATCTTGTTCTTGGGATTCAGTATGGTCAATTCATGAATTTCCCTATAATGGCAGATGTGCACATCAATATACGATACCCAAAGATGAGCATCAGATGGGATTGCTTCCGTCGTGTAAAGGTGTAAAGGATGGTAACTACCAGTTCGAAGACCGCCCTTGTGATGCTTATTATAGATGTGACAGTGGTATTGCGTCACCTGTTAAATGTCCATCGAACACGACTTTTGATGATGTTACTGGAACATGTAAGGAAGGAAGCAATTGTTAGGGATCTTACCTTCAAAAAATCTATGAACTCATAAATCATTTAAGTTAATATGCTGTAAATGACTTAGCATTCGTAAAAAAAATTATCTTGATGAATAAGGATAGAAATAGAAACGTAAAAATAGATTATATCTCGCTAAAAATACTCTTACAAATTCAAATCGTTTTATATTTAAATCAACATTATTTATATTTTTTTGATTTTTGTGATTAATTTCATGGATTTAAATTTATTGATTTGTCAATGAAAACTGATTCAATATAAACACGTCCTCAAAATGAGACAATATTTTAAAAGAATTTTGCCTCACTTATATTTAGCTGTAATGAATTCAGTAGGCAAGGTTAATTTATCTATCGAAAAGAGATGGAAATGAGAATCAAAGTGAAGGTTTTTTTTAATCAGCTGTAAGTACCACGTGCACGTTAAGAGGAAGATTGCTTCATCGTATACACAGCATTCTCAGAGGTTGCAGTTGATGGATGGCAAGGAATTCATGTCCTTATCAAGTCGCTGTTGAGCCACAATACGAGCTCTAAATCCAACAATGGCTACATTTCCTCACTGAAAATCAATTCGGAAACATAAAATAGATGTGATTTAAATGCATCCCCATCATGTAATCTCATGGGCACCAGTACTAGCATATGCAACGTTCTTCTCCGTTATACAAAGTCTCCAAAAGTGCACTCAAAAATCAAAATGCACTGGAACTTTGGTCTAAAAGTTGTTATTGAAATTTAATTTAATTTAATCCCTCTTTTTTATCCATCTCAAACTAAAGCAATAATGTTTAGCACGAAGAAAATCATTGAAAAGCCTAAACTTCTTTTTCAGCAATGTCAATTAGACTTAATCTCTGAGCACAAAGACCTTGGAGTAATGTTTTCACATGTCGCTAGTTGGTCACCGTACATTGAAGATTCACTGGCTAACGCGTACAAAAAATAATATTTTCAAGTGGATTGAAAATCTCTCTCCCTTATGTATACGTCATCTATAAGATGAACATGAATATGCTTCTGCAGTATGGGGTTGCTGACTATATGCTGTATGCTATATGCTGTATGATAACGATAAGCTGAAAAACTGCAACTTTATGCTGCAAGAATTGCAACAGATTTAACAACAAATGCTCCTGAAGATTCATTTTACTTTAAAACGGGATGGAAACCACTTAGTTGTAGAGGACACAAATTACGCGGACTCCGCTATTATTTACTCTTACAGTGGCCAAATAGTCCAAAATTTTACTGATTTATTTTCTACAATTCGCGATAGTATAAAACAAATGCAAAAAATGCAGTATATGTATTTGAATCCCAAATCATAAAATTATAAAAGTTACAATAAAACTAGGAAGAATAAATTTCTCTTTACAAATATTAATCCATTTGAAGCAAAGTTGATAACATTAATAACACCACATACATTCTATAATCAATCCTAAGATTTAAATAAAATTGATCAAACAATCTTGCAGTCATCCGTCCAATCTTGAACTCTGAATGATAGGTTTCCTTGATATCTATAAAGAAGCTTGCCGATCATTTACTTCGTATATGATTAAAGAGACCTGTGGAGTATGTGAAAAAATCATAAATGACTAATATACCTACTTTTACTTGCTTTATAAGTATAGTGATGACTTTTACACTTTGAAATAAAGTGATTCTTTTTATCTTGTAGATTCAAATGTACGTTATTTTACATTGTATTCGCTGAAAAATTACTAAGGTAAAAATTCCGTGTCTACACAGGCCTTGTTGCATTGTTTTCTTATTATCTTAGCATCTCAAAATCGATGTCAATTTGATTTCCTCACAATTTTTAACGGTATCGTCATCATATATATATTTTCTTTTGTTCTAAATTCACATCTTAAAACTTGTTTTGGGATAATGTCGTAATTCTGAAATCTATATCCAGAGGTATTTCCATACGAGAGAAAATCTGTCTCTAAGCAAAAAACGCCATTAATTTTTCTTTTAATCAATACTTCGTCTAAAATGTATATTCACCATGGTTGTTCACATGTCTGTTTCAATTTGATCATAGAAATAGCTTACAAAGAACATGTATTATTTATTCCCACGAATTTTATATCCAAAATTCTTTATTAGACAAAACAATTTGATGATAGAAATAGATTTAAAAGAACATGCATTATTAATCTTAACGGCTTTGTATATATCAACTTCAGGGACAATTCATATTACCTATCAACTGCACGTACTCAATTTCGAAAATAATATCTTTTTCACTAAATGAATAAAGTATACAAATAATGTTGAAAAGAAATTAAAATCATTGATTTTATCATATAAAATCAATACTGTTTTCATCAAAGTCTGCTGCAGTTCTGGAACATTCAGTAGATGGTGGATATATATATGTACTTTATATTTACGTTGAAAGTGAAATTTGAGATTTTCAAATTTCCCCCTAATATATATTTTCAACTGAGCAAGACATTCAGGCTTCAAAGACGGAACAATCATGGTCAGTAATTTCCACATCAGTTTACGAGGTACTGACTTTACAACTTCCTTCAAATCAGTTAGAGAATTCATGGACAAACTTGTCCAATGTGGGCGAGCAGAGATCACATCACAAGGTGATTATTTTGTTGACAGAAACCCTACAGTTTTCCATCATGTTTTGGATTATGCGGCTGGAAGAAAATTTCATCTTCCCAAAGGAATTTGCGCCATCGAGGCTAGAGAAGAAATGGAGTTCTGGATGATTCCCATTGAGGCCATTCCAGTGTGCTGTTTTGAAGTATTGTACAATGACAATTTGTCTAGCTATGAAGCAATTGAAAAAATGGAGAAACGTCTGATGCATGGCGTTTGTCCGACGAATGAAGAGAAAACGATCTCTGGAAGTAAATTTCAAAACTTAAGAGAGACTCTCAACAGATCTACAGTGGATCCTTGTTCGAGTCTGCATGGGAAGGTGATCCAAGTCATTTTAATTCAAATTACATTTGATAAGGTCTAGGTGTTGTAAGGCAGTTGAGATCTACTGTTTATATTATATTGTTAATCAGTCTAGATTCTGGTTTATCACAAATTTATTTTAAGAACATGAATATTAAATAAAAAAGCTTAGGTTGAAGATGCTAAATTATTTTAAGAACACGGTATTTTATTATCGGTAATGTCAATAGTATTTTATTTGTATTGTATTTTCTAGATATGGTTGACCTTTGTGGCTGCTGTTACAATCCTAGCGATTATCTGCTTTATTTTGAATACAGACAAAGACTACCGAGAGGAGAGAGAGAGCATTCCAGCAATACCAGACAATGCTACATATAACCTTGTCTACAGTAACCCCAAACTCTCCATGCTGATTACAAAGAAAATTCCTACTTGGCGTGTCGTCCTGGAGAGTATTTCTAATGTGTTTCTCCTATTGGATCTGATTTTACGATTTATCATCACACATCAAAAGAAAACATTCATCTTCGTTCCTTCCAACTTTTTAGAGTTTATTGCAATTACGATTTCATTTTTCGTTATATATATGGATAGAAATCCTGAAATGATTGTTCAAAACAGTTGGTTAGATAAACTCATAATAGTTGTCGGATGCCTATACTCTCTAAGAGTTTTCAAACTATTACGCCTAGCAGAAACAACTGGTGAAATGAAGATTTTAAAATTATGTTTCCAAAACAGTTTGAGATTAATAGTACTTCTTTTGATGATATTTACAATTTTCTCAGTAATTTTTGGATCAGGAATGTTCTGGGCCGAGTTTGAAAATTCAGAAACTTTTCCCAACATGTTCGTCAGTATTTGGTGGGCCGTTGTTACCATAACAACCGTTGGATACGGGGATCACTATCCAAAGGCTCCCTTTGGGTACTTTATGGCCTCTCTGACAGCGGTTATCGGCTTATTATTAATAGCAATGCCCATTGCATCCTTATCCTCCAGCTTCAATACTTATTACAGCTGTTACACGTATAAAAAGAAATATTCTGATGCTAAGAAGAAATCCAGAGAAGATATTTCTGAAAACACTGTTGATAAGTGTTAAGTATTATCACATTATCAATTGGATTCGTTTGACGTTTACAATATAAGGAGTCGCATACTATCAGTTACCTTATAAAATCAAATAATGGACTCTGATATTTGTCCATTAGCTATTTCATTGGAATTGATTCAAACAAGCTGTTAAAAAGTAAACTTAAGATATGTCATTATTTTAATTTAAATCATATTTCAAAAGTCTAGTAAAATATTTTAAATACCTACATATTGTAAACATCGTATTGATTTAAAGACATGTGAAGGTCTTTTAGTGATGGTTAACGAAAGTATAAATTGGGAAGGAGGTAGACATTTTAGACAAACATTGCAATATAAATCACAGTGAGACTATATTCTTGCATTACCTTCTCTTATTCAAGGTCCTGAAGAATATATTAACTATGCAGTGATTTGAATTACTATACCTATATTGGATTCATAAACTTCATAAAAATCCTTACAATCAAAGATATATAGATTGCCATTGGACATTTGCAAAATTATTTTGTTAGAAAACATTCTGAGTAGATATTAAAAAAGATGCTTGAATTTCTGATTGACAATATCTATATAGATTTTGGAGATCCACTGATACCCATGTGTACCAATTGTGCCTCATTATTAGCAGACTTATTTTTGTATTCATATGAAGTAGAATTTTTTCTCAAAAACTTATACATGAGAAGAAGACACTCGCTGTGGTCTTCAACTTGACATTTAGATATCCACAAAGTTTTATCAATTAATAATAGATACTTCCATTCAAATGTTGACTCAAAATATCCCAGTGAATTGTGAAATAAAAGGCAGAGTCTGACATATCTGTTTCATATTTGGATATTTTACAAGAAAAGACGTCAATGGTAATCTACCAACAAAACTTTATGATAAACGTGATGATTTCAACTTTTCTATCGTCAACGTCCCTTACTTACGTAGCAATATACCCTTATCATCTGCATATGAAGTTTACATCTCCCAGTTGATTCGATTGAAAAGAGCATGTTCCACGTACAAACAATTTCTTAAACGAGGCAAGCTACTGCCAATTAGGTTGAAGAAACAAGGATATCAACAGTCTCATTTTTTAATGTCATCATTTCGCAAGCTTTAAGTTCCATACAATGACAATATCAGCCATGCAATCTATTATTAAGTCGAGTGCTGACTGACGTTTTTCATACTTATTGTTAGTCCACTATTTAAATACTGAATTGTCTATGGATTTTTCCGTTTGCCCGATCATGATTATAAGCACACGGCGGATGTGACTGGTCGACAGGCTTACACTTCCATGGCACCTGATCCCACCTCTGTTTTAGAGGTGTGTGTTTGCTCTGCTCACGATTTGTATTGTTTCAGTAGACTTTTTTATTATTACTGTTCGTTATCTACATATTTCATTTCATGGAAGTAATCTTAAATTTTTCGTTCAACTTGATAAACCAAATTTGTTCCTCTCTCTGTTTAATTCTAGTGAGTAAACAGACAGGAAGCCTCATCAAACAAAGTAAAAATTATCAAATTCTAGTCGTACGTCATTGCATTCTTTCGGATTATTCTCACTCATACATTTACAGATCCTTTTCATAATATAACTGAAATCCTTTATATGCAAATACTTGAAATTTAAATTATTTTTCCATGGATTAAGACCCCGTTATATTGTATTTTCGTTTCTGTGAAAAGACCACAAAGTAGCAACACTAACAATCTGTGTTACGTGCTTTATATTAGCCGGAGGTGAAAGCAATAACTACTGTGATTGATTTTTTTTTTAGAATAATGCAATGTAAATGTATTTTATTACAAAGTGTTGCTTGACATATTACAATAATGAAATCAATATTATTAGAAACATGTATATTTTTGGTGTATGGAGAAGTATCATAAATGTTTTCCCTGTAAGTATTAACTTTCATTTTTCCAATATTTTGTCATTTTTATTGCATTTATTTTGAATGTTATTCTAAGACATGCAAGACAATCGAATTCATGTAAATTTGTTAAAAGTTCTTAAAAGTCAGAATGTTTATTTAATGGAACTTAACCTACACATATATACATAAAGTAGACCAATTGTTGTTGTACCATTTTGTTATGTTATTACTGACCTAACACAATATAATTGAATTTCAAAGAGTTTAAGTTGTCTCTCTTTGTAGAAATTATCATCTGTTGCAATGAATGTTCCATAGGGTTCATGACCTGGAATATTGATAAGCTTGGGAGGTGTGAAAACGTGGTCTTCAAAGCCTTGCAAATACATTTTCAAATACTCCACAGTATTCTTCGTGCAAGAAAGGATCCTTCTATATATTTTGATTTATATCAATTCTTTTAATACACACTTGCTAGAGTTTCTTGAACGAAAGATAGGAAACACTATCTTCAGTGTATTAAGTAATGCATTTTTCAGCTTTCTCTTGCATAATATGTTTATATTCTAGTAGAAGTATTGCTTTACTAGTTTTCATGTTGTTAATTTTTAATACATGTATTATTTTTATCCTGTCAATTCATGATTAAACATGACACTAATGATCACAGGAAAAATCTATTGTTGTTGTTTTCTAGAAATGCTGAAGTAAACAGTCATGCATTGAGTGTGTTCGATGGAATTGGTCGATACTCTTGGTGGGATTTGGGGTACTGTGTCCTATACGCAAAGTAGTATGTACTTTTGATACCAAACGGTCAATCAATAATATGGTAATCAACGTGTGACAGTTTAGCACGTTTGATCAAGCGAACTGACACTCTGTTATTAGAATGATAGTATTTTTACTTTCTCTTAAACCTGACGAGAATAAATTAATTAAAATAAGATTCAACAATACAGTCCACAGATTATTTTTGTTATTGAAAGATAATAACTTGTTTTATGCCGATAAAATTTTCATATTCTCTTGACCGGCTTATTGAAATACAATATGTCATGCCAAGTGATCTATTTTTAATTAATTTTTGAAATATATATTAAAACAAACAAGTTATAAATACAATAAATTTTCATTTGTTTTCAATTAAAAAGGAATAAATTTCTTTCAGCCCCAGTAAAAGGAGTGTATTTCTTTGCATACATCTGCAGGAAAGTTATCGCAAAAACATTAGAACAAAAAAAAATGAATTTTAGTGTCGTGAGGAAATACTCAGACGAAATCCTGAGGAAATACCCAGAAGAAATTATTAGAAAAATGATAAACCATGAAATTGAGCTTGGACACGGTATTTTATTTAATGATTGGTACGGGGAATCTACACACTTTATTAAGCTTACCCCGTACATGTGGCTACTTCCATTTATTGTCACCGTTATACTCCTGGCTGTCTTCAAGCGAGCAAAGCTGTTCGGCTACACTCAGAAGTACCTAGTCGCCATTATGCTTCTGGACCTTCTTTGCACACTTTTAACTGGAATTCGAGATGGTGCTCTTACATTTCTAAAAATGGATTATGGGTATATAGAATACAAAATCTGTCGGTTCGTACTAGCTTCTTTTAACTTGCAAACTAATCTTCATGGAACATCAATTTGGATCAAGTGCTTCATGTCTTTTTCTCAATATATAATCGTTGCATTTCCTTTAAAATGGAAGTTTTGGAACTTAAAGCCATTTTTTATGATTTTTGCTGTAATTCATTTGAGTTTTTTGTCTGTATCGTTAGTTTGGGGTTCTGGTATGCCATTGAAAGGGGTTTGGACGTTTCAAGTTCCTGGCATAGATCACAAGTCTAAAATTATCCAAGCTTGTACGATGGATTTAAACTCAGGTTTTTATGAAAGTTTCACCTTTTACTTCCTTCAAAACTATGGAAGGCATTTCTTATACATCTACTTCTTGGCTTTACCAACAATTTTGGATATTGTGTTGGTAATTTTACTTACACTTTTAATGCGAAAACAATTAAAGTTTTTGTCCGTTTTGGCACCAGAGACTGGAAAGAAAAGTAAAATAAAATACCTCATATTAATGAAATTGAATATTATTCTTGGCTTATCATTTATCGTACAGGAGGTCCCACTTTTTATATATGCCACATTTCTTTTAACATCTAATGATATGTCATTCCTTCTTGATGCTCAGGGAATATACAATACCATAATGACAATATCCTTTGTAATCGGAAAACCTCTAGATCTTGTAATTTATGCCAGTTTTAGTAAGACATTTCGCATTGAATTTTCCAAGCTTTTTTATAAATGTAAAATCACCTCAGAACTCTAAATATGCCAGGAAAACAGGTGCTAATAATAAATATACAGGTAAGAAATATACGATGGGAAAAGATAAAAATTGTTAATTTCAATTGATATTGAAATACTGATTGGTGGGATTGGAATTTATTTAGCTTACTTTATTGGTTAATGTCAATGTTACTATTTATAAGAAAATGTTAAAGATTTCTGTTAATGATTTGATAAAAAAAAAATAGATGCAGGCCTTCATTTTCTGTATTTATATAAACTAGGAAAATTTGACTTGAAGAATTCTCTAAATAGTGTCATTTTATAACAAAATCTTTAAAGCAAATTTGTTTTTAAATGAAATGATACGCTGTACTTGCTTTTTAATGCATTGCAATGATCTTCTTTTGTTATTGGTTATATGTAGACCTCTTTCTAAATCAGTGTAAACATTTGTTAAGTAAATTGATGCATGAAAACACTCATGAAATGCTACTAATATGTTATGCTAATATGTGTCACAAGAGCTATTTTTTTTAATTATTCATTTTATCATGGATAAAGTGCCAGGTGGTCATCTAATTAAACTGCGTGTTGTTGCTCTACATTTTCTTCGTTTTAGAATTTATTGTAATTAATCGAAAGTACAGTATGTTGCTTTACAATTAAAATTGAATTTTTTCTTCATTCAGGCAAACATTTTGTTTCTCAGGTTAATAGTTTGAAAAAAAATTTCCATCATTTTCACTGAATCTACATATATGTTGTTTTTGCTGTTTATTTAATCTTGTTTGATTTGTTCAACAAGCTTATAG